ATTGCATCCTGTATTTATATGGCATTTGACTGTGACTCACTCGGACAACTTGGCAAAATTGAGGTTCTTTGTTTTCTATCATTATCCCTCTGTAGATTGCATTTGGATTTAGTCTTCATTCTTTGTGATGGGTGATAATGTTAAAGGGCAAAAGAGAGCCGTGATTTGCCATGGCCTCTCACCGTTATGGGCTTTGATGGTGATCATATCATAAAAATCGATCAAAGAGAATACTTTACATTTCAGCACGTAAAAGTGGTTTTCTGAAAGAAGGTATAGATTAGCCTGTTTAGAGGCCTGTATTACAGATTAGTGTAAACCTCTCTAAAGACAAACTTTCCCTTTCTTTTCAAAAGTCTCTTTTGCCCCCGTTAGTTCTTCAAATTTTCAGAATAAGAGACAGAAGAAACTAGAAACCGTATTCAGAAGAAACAAAAACTTGATATGTATCAAATCCCAAAGTATGTTCAAGAACAATATCAGAAACCAAAAACCCAGTATTCATGGAGTTCATTGAACAGCATTTTCGCCGCTAATTAAAAACCGTATGATTCAAAATCGATTATAGAAGAGGGGAAATGAAATGTTAAATAAAAGGAAACAGTACCCTTGTCCTCCTGCCCATTGGTTCTATGGGCGGGCCTCTGTCTTTCTAATATATTACCGCCATGGATCAATGCCCTCGTCCTCAAATCTTGGAAATCCATCCCTGTGAATAAATACATACAAAGAAAGAAACTATTACATGTACAAACAGAACTGAGCACTAAAATGAGAAAAGTAGCAGACCCACTACGAGAGACCGAGAACTCGCATTGAAAAAAAAAAACCATGCAAAACACAGGAAAAATAAAAGACTCCCCCCATTTGGAGAGAATGCAAGATTTTTGTAACTGCAAAACATTTTTTTTTTTTTTTGTAACTTCTTCATTTTATCTATTTTTACATTTTTAATATTTTTATTAGATAATTAATGACATCAATGATTGGCCTTGATGGCTGAACCACTGGCCCACCACCCAAATAGAAAAGTAGTCCCATTTTTGGATTGATTTTCGAAACACTAGTTAAACTTGGACCAAATAGAAAACTATTTTGGTAACTTGTTCATAGGTCGATTGATTTAACCATTTGCTTCAACTGTTGAACTCATTTAAAAGAATGTGAAAAATAAAAATTAAAAACCCGAGAGTCATTTAAGACTAACTTTTAAAGCTATCTCAAATCAAAATAAGTTCATGAAAATAAATATTAAAATGTGTTAAGGGTGTCAATAGCATCCAGAAATCTGAATTCGAATTTGAGATCGGGCATAATAGAATTGAATTCATATAATTTGAATATGATAACAGATATCCTATTCATACTATTTAACTAATTGAATCAAATCGATCTAGATATGACCTGATTCGATTTAATAAACATTTAAATTTAGCTGATTATATAATTCATATATATAATATAAAAAGTTAAATGTTTTAGGTAATTCATATATAATATTTACATTCTATAAATAATTTATATAAATAAAAATATTTATATTATGTACATTAAAAATTTATAATAATTAGTATGCCAAATTTGAAATTTTAATTTTTAATATCCATTGAATATCAAATCGAGTTTTTTAATTGAATTTAAATTTGGATATTGCTTGGTTCGACTCAAAATCACTTTTTTACACCCCTAGAAGGTAAACTATCTTTTAAGACATGGAAATTAGATGAATTTGACCAAATCGATTGATATTTCTAAGAACAGGACAAACAAATATTGTTTTGGCTGTTAATTCTTGGTTTTTGGCAGTTCTGCAATATGTTTCGGTTTAACCAAGACAATACCAAGTGAATAAGAAGATCTCTTTTGATGAGTTGGAATTTTGAAAAGTCAACAATGCCCATTAACATTAATATGGAATCAGTCATGATTATGATTCTTTAATAAGGCTAAATGGGTAACTTTGATAAACATTAAAAACTTTGGAAGATAAAAGTTGTCTTTATCCCAAATATAGCCATACGCGTGGGAAGGGACAGAGCAGAGGTACTGGTGCAAGCAACCTGGTGACTGGTGAGAGACCTCTTCTCTCTCTTCCTTCTTCTATCTATTATTGATATAGATTCAAATAGGGGAAGATGAAGCAATTTTCCCTTGTATTAACTTTGTTACTATATTTAAAACTTTGGGCCAAATAAATGGCCAAAATCTTGAAAATTTGAAAAAGACTTTCCAAGATTTTACACATGAAAATTCTCATATTTAGGTTTCCAGCAGATAAGGGCAACCTTTTGCCCTCAATATCAATAAAAGGTAATCTTTTTATAAAATAATTAATAAGAGAACTTTTTTAGAAAAATATTAAAAAAGGGCAATGGCACTGTTTATCGTCTTCCTCTGCCTTCCTTTGTATTTTTCAACGGGTCAACAGGTCCCGATAGTCCATCCCGCGTGCTAGAGGTTCCAAAAGTCGGAAATACGATGGGCTCTATGCAGACTGGTTCTTCCAGCAGAAAAAGTAGAGCAGCTCCTTAGAAGGGCTGGCAAAAGGATCCTCGGTGAAGTCAAGTTCGTCGGTGGAGTTTTGTTGCAGGGAATGAAGCCAGCGCGGGCTGCTCTACTTCTAGCTCTCGGGGCCCCAACGTTAGTCACCGTTCTATTGTATGTCAGCGTAATGTTCTGGGCACCATTGTCAAAAAGCAGAGCGAATGACGGATAGTTCAAGTCACCTGGCTAAAGAACTTGATTAGTAGGAGGACAAGTGAAACTCCGCCGAGCTACGACAGCCATTTGAGATGAAGTGTAGTTCAGACTGCACAGGTAGTTCAGGTAGTTCTCAGTGCCGATATCATATTTTAGCCCAGGATCGGATGCTCTGTCGGGGTTGACATGTCCTGATCCAAATGCAAAAGGTGTTGCTAAATCTGAAGAGGAAGAAGAACCAGCAGCAGCATCTCTGATTGGAGTAAATTTGTTGTTAAGCATATAAGCTGTTGTCATTAGAGCTGATTTGATTGTTGAGGGAGACTGGTCTCTGTATATAGATTTAAGGAGGGCAGCCAGGCCACTCACATGTGGACATGACATGGATGTCCCTGAGATTATGTTGAACTCAACACTTCTTTTATCACTCTTCAGCCGAGTCGGGCTCACTGTAGGAGGCCAGACAGCCAATATATTTATCCCTGGTGCCGTAACGTCTGGCTTGATCACATCAGGTGCGATTGGGTTGGGTCCTTTTGTCAACCCTTCTCTACTTCTTCTGCTAGAAGAACCGGTCTCCCATAGAGCTCACCGTATTTCTGACTTCTGAAACTTCCGGCACGCGGTATGGACTACCGGGACCTGTTAATCCGTTGAAATGGCTGGCACGAATACAAAAGAAGGCAGAAGAAGACGATGAACAGTGCCACTGCCCTTTTTTTGATATTTTTCTAAAGAAGTTCTCTTACTTTAATTATTTTATAAAAGGATTATTTTTTATTGATATTAAGGGTCTCTTTCAATGCGAGAAAATTGGACTGAGAAAGGATGGGATGAGAAAAGGAAAATTTATTTTCTCGGTTAGTTATAATGTGTTTGTTTGCCCAGAAATTTTTTGTGAGAAAATCCACTTTCTAGTGTTTGTTTTGCAAGAAATTTTTTTTGAGTTGATTGTCACCAGCAATCAGAGACAGAACTTCGGATCATCGCCAGCAAGATTGGATCCAGAAATCCGAAATTGCTAGAGATTTCAACTGTCCTGAGATAGCCGGTAACCATTGAGACACGAAATTAACCGTCGTGAGGTAGAGATCGTCGGATTCGTCGTCGGCGTCGAGTATCCCCCGAAATGGATTTTCAACGCCAATAGAGCCACTGAGTTCTCTGGATTGCTCAGCACGAGGATCGCAGTTTGCTTCATTATGATCTTTGGCGTGTTCAACTGTTCCATGCTGGGATGGCGCATCTTTAGAATTCCTGGCGATGGTTGGTTGGGATTGGGGCTCAGAAGCGAGACAAAGCTTTCTCCCGTTTTGTTTGGAACAACCACTGTCTCCAACGCCTTCCTCTTGTTTGAAATCAGAGTTTGGGTTGGGATTTGAGCTAGTGGGGGCGGTGGTGCTAGAGATGCGAGACAGAGCTTTCTCCCGTTTGCGGAGGAGAATCTTGAAATCTTTGAGGGAAATGCAAGGGATTGGCATGAGCCATTGCCGAGGGACGTCGGGCGCCCTGTGCAGGTTCCCTTTGTACAGTGAGATCGCCACCATCTCGTTACTCGAATATCGATTGATCAAAAACGACGACAACTGCCCTTTTGTTCCGTTTCCTCTTTTGATGTTTCTCGGCCGCCTGAAGGCGAAGGGCACCACCTTCGTGAGGGAATGCCTTTTTTCTTCGTCCGATTGGAATCTATTTTACACCGCATCCCACCTTGTATTAGATTGCTCAGCTTGCATTTTCTTAGCGTTTTCTTTTCTCACCGGGGTCGCACTGTTTTGGTGCGACCCCACTCACTTAATTTTGGGATCCCGTGTCCCTCTTGTTTCTCATCCCAAAACACTGTTTACTAGTAAACAAACACAAGAAAGAAAGAATAATTCGGGAAGATTCCCATTTCTCATTCCTTTCTCAGCATCAAACAGACCCTTAGGGCAAAAAGTTGCCCTTATTTGCTAAAAACACTAAAACTTTGTAAAATCTTTGAAAATTTAATTGACTCAAACTTTGGTCTGTCCCACATCGGCTGGTGAAAAGAATCGAATAGGTAGCAGTATCTGTTCTTATCAGTTTAATATCTGATACGTGAGCAATTGGTCCACATGATATTAATTTTATTTTTATAGGGAGATGGCCCATTACAGTTGTTTTCTACTTGGGTCTTCGTGCTTCTCCTTTGCGTTTCACTACTTCTCGGGCCTGTTTACCCCTTCAAGTCACTTATCAAAGGGTTCTTCGGTTTAAGGCTATGAATTGTTCGAAAGAAAAATAAAATTCTAAAAAAAATTTGCCCACTTTGAACTGTGATAGATTCAGAATAATTTCTACTATGTGGACTGTGTCAATACTGTTCACAATTCGAAATCCAGACAAAACTGTGTAAAACCACTCTGGGATTTCAGAGAGAGAGAGGTGATGGCAATGGTCATCCACTACTGTGATTTACAATCGTTACGTCGTCTATCCCTTCCCTTCTAGCTTCTGGCTTTCATACTCAAATTCTGTGAGAATTCCTATATTCCATCTTCTCTCTTTTTTCTTCCCAATTCTGGTTCCCACTTTTCCATCCACAACCCCCCATCCCCAGATCCTCTCAATTCACTCAATTGAAAGCTCCTTTTCCTCATGTTTCCCTCTGTTGTACTGCTATTCAGTAATTGGCCTTCTGATCTTTTTAATCAGTCTCCAGTTTGTGTTAAGGATTCCACTCTCCACCTCCATCTCATCTCGTGGCTCTCGTTTTGGAAGCCTGGGCCCTACCCCAGTGGTAAAACCCTTTTCCAAATATGTCCAGCCCTCAGTGCTTACCAAGTTATATAACCTCAAGAGACAGAGCAACCGATCACCTCTTCACTAGTTCTTTTCACTCCCTTTAATTTCAACCTCTGGCTTGATTCTTTTCCGAGTTCTTATATTGTTATCATTATCTATAATCTGAGTAGATTACCAAGTGGATGTCTGATGACGTTTGTGCTTTTGTACTGCAGCAAATCCCTACTGGCCAGTGGATGACCCATGGATTTGTACTACCTCAACTGATTCAATTAACCGTAGTAGGTTTCTGATATATAAACCTGAGTTCCTTGTTTTCATTCTCAAACTGCTCGAGCTACCAAACCCATAAATTGTTTTAGCTTTACAGCTACTGTGTTGTTCTTGTTGTTGCTTGCTTGCTGCAGCTGCTGCTGCTGCTACCAAGAATATGGATGTGAATTTGTCGAGTATCACTCTGCGTCCGTTCAGACTCACAGACCTTGACGACTTCATGGTGTGGGCGAGTGACGATCAAGTAACTCATTTCATGAGATGGAACACCTTCAGCTCTAGGGAAGAGGCACTGAACTACATCAGGGACGTTTGCATCCCCCACCCTTGGCGCCGATCAATATGCTTGGATGACCGCTCCATTGGATTCATTTCTGTCAAGCCGGCTTCCGGCAACGACTACTGCAGGGCTGAGGTGGGTTATGCCATTGCCTTTAAGTACTGGGGCCAGGGGATTGCCACCAGAGCTTTGAAGATGGCACTCTCCTGTGTGTTCAAGGATATGCCATATTTGGTGAGACTGCAGGCTTTGGTTGATATAGATAATAAAGCTTCTGAGAGGGTCTTAGAAAAAGCCGGCTTCCTCAAGGAGGGTGTTTTGAGGAAGTATTGCCTTCTCAAAAGTGGGGTTAAGGATCTTGCTATCTACAGTTTCCTCAGTACTGATAGCATTCTAGACTGATATATATACTCTCTTGTTTTCTTTTTCTGGCCCCCTTTTCACATCTGAGCTGAACTGGATTAGTTAACTGACCAGTCTACGGTTTATTCTTTATAAACTTCTTCCCATCTCTCTCTGATAAGTGTGTATATGTCACCTGACATTGAAGGTTTCTATGGGTTCTCTTTGAAAAGTAAGTTTCAGTCTGAAGGCCTTGCCACCTGGCAAAAATAAAACGTTTTTGTTTTTCTCTCGCGTTTGTTTGTTAAAAAGTTGATCCTGACACTCAAAAGGTTCGACAAATGGTAGGGATAGAGGGTGCACATGAACAAGTGCGCAGTGGATTTTTAATTGGAATATAGGATTTGCCCTTTGAGCGAGTGAAGAGACGCATTACTCTTCAGTCATTGATAAACAAATGAAAGTTGACTGGAAGGTCATGATCCAACAGGCGCATGATTCACTGCGAAGGCTGCCAATAACTATAAAAATCCCTTTTCTTTTTCCTTTCTTCCCGGAAGAATACAGATGAAGTTCCGCAGATTCCACGGTGATACAAGAGGTCAGAAGCCTGATAAGAGGACATGTTGTCCCGGCGTCTTAGGCCACAAGGGCCAGAAACGTTATTTGCAGAAACAACGTTTCTGTCATTGGGGCCTGTGAACTTCTGACCGGATTTTGAATTTCAGTTAAACAGAGATCATGACTCTTGATGAAGTACAGTGGCAACACAAGATGGAAAATTTATATTTTTGGGTTAGTGGTGAGTTGGGTTTAGTTGACACAAACTTTTAAGAAAAACTTCTCTCAACCATTCATTCAAATGAAATGCAGCAATACTGCATATCAGAGAATAAGAACCTTGTGTACAAATTGATTTTGGTCAAGGTAAAGGAATATTGGGTTCCGGTGCCCCAAACATGGGACAACTGATACAGGACCTGTCTCCTCATACCCTGTTTTAGCCTTTGCACAAATATCCCGACTTGTGCCCCTTGATTTCTTTCTGTGTGCGTGGGAGACATTACTCGAGCAAAGTTCACATATCATTTTGTTAACATCACTGTTGGATACCATACACAGTTGTAGGCTGTAGGTCTACTTCTTCTATATGTTCATCAATTTCCAACAGAAAAGATAATATTGTTTTTTGTTTCAAGACCAGCATTAACCCTCTAGCTGTTATAAAGTAAGAAAAGTGCTATGGTAAAAGTGTTAATAAAAAATGTGTAGGAAATCTGTAGTCTGTCATGCTGTTAATCTGTGTGTGATAAAATTTCCGATTGGAATGTTCTACCAAATCAGAACCTTTTCTCTTCAACCAGTCAAGAAAGCCGGCTACCCTCACTTGTCTACAACAGAAAAAGACAACCCATTACCCATGTATGTGCCCACTTTGATTTTCTTCCACACTAATCTTTCTCATGTTTGGCACCAGKTGAGGAAAAAGGGAAAGGAACAACTCATGGACAGGAATCTCCTGGTTTTCTCAATACAGCTGACATCTCTGGAAATAGTTTTTCTTGGAATTTTCTTAATAGCACAAGGGTCTCACCTTGTCACATCCAGCTCTATAAATATCAGATTAGGAGATTAGCACTGGAGATCTTATCCGTTGCAACCTTGGAACCAGCACTCCCTTTAGAGTCTTCCCTTTGAAAAAAGGCCTTGGATATTTAAGAGGTATGCCTCCATCAATGATCGTTGGTGAGGAAACAGAAGCCAGGAAGAATACCGCCATCAAGATCTCACTCCGGCTTTTCCAACTCTCTGACGTCGATAGCTTCATGGAATGGGCAGGCGACGATGAAGTCACCCGTTACTGTAGATGGGACACCTACACCTCGAAAGACGACGCCCTCAACTTACTCAAGGATGTCATCAGGTCCCACCCTTGGTACAGGGCCGTTTGCGTCGACGGCCGGCCGATTGGATCCATCTACGTCATGCCGGGGACGGGCAAAGATGAACGCAGAGGAGAGATTGGATACGCTTTTGGGGTGAAGCACTGGGGCCAAGGGATTGCGACAATGGCGGTGAAGCTGGTCATGTCAACAGTGTTTGAGGAGATGCCATATTTGGAGAGGGTGGAAGGGTTGGTTTTTGCAGAGAACGTAGCGTCTCAGAGGGTGCTGGAGAAAGCTGGGTTCGTTAGAGATGGTCTTCTCAGAAAATATTTCTTTGTCAAGGGCAAGAGCAGGGACATCGTCGTATACAGCGTTGTTCCCGGTGAACCATCTATAGAAAGTTGATCGGATAAAGGGTTTATGTCTGTCCCAATTTCAATTCGAATCTGTTCCTTTTAAGGCTATCAGATTTCGATCTGATCCGCCTATGAATGGATCAAATGTAGATGAATGATTTTATCCAATATTTACATCATTATACAAATTGCTAATTATCAGTCTTCACATGCTTTCTTTTTATACAACACAACCTCAAATATATTTGGTAACTGATGTAACAGTTCTTGGTCAGGTATCAATTTTTTTGTGATCTATCAATTTTTTGGCTAAGTATCTGGTCAATGACATTGGCTCATGATGAGGGCAGATTTGGCCCTCCAGTGAAATTGCGATACGTGGCACCTCGTGACAACTAGGCAAGCACCTAGGCAACAACTTACCAAGTTGGTGTCCCCCTCGGGCACCGGTCTGGCTGGCCTAGCGCGACCTGCACGCGGCTTGCGTGGG